CGGCGCGTGCCGTTGACCCCGTTCCCTTCTTCGGCGACAATCTACTGGACACCTCCATGGGCATGGACTGCTTCGATCAGTTCATCCACAACTACGAGCCGTCGACAACTGTGGGTGATAAGCCCCAGGACTTCTCGACCTTCCTTCCGGGAGCACGCAACACGTTACCTCCCCTGGGAACGCTGGAGAGCGTTAACTCTATCGACAGCTTGTTCTCATCGGCGTTCCGCACATCCTACGTCACATCCCGTTCTACTTCTGGCAAGCAGTCTCCGATGCTTGGCGATTCGGTGAGTGTTATCCCCGCTCGGTCACAGCATACACGTGTTGACGTGTTGCTTCGCAGCCTTCTGCCTACATGTCATCCAGCATCTCCCGCCTCCGGATCGACAACACGCCCTTTGGCCCGGCCTCGGAGTTGTCCCCGGCTGCCATGTCCTTCACCTTCTCCAGCCCGTCAGCATCCTCCAGCGGCGCATCCGATGGCATGCTGTCCACTCCGATGACGATTGCCCCATCCGTGCTTTCCTCCCCCAACTCCTGGGACTCTACTCCCTTCGCGGATAGCCCCTCTCTCCCTGTGATCCTCGAGACTCCTCTTGAGGAGAACTTCGATGAGGAATCCGCTTCACACTTCCTCAACGGCCCTGAGCTTCCTCAGTCTCAGCCCATGGTCAGTCCTGTGCTGCCGCCGTCTCCGCGTGATAGGCATTCTCCGATGTCCGTCGTCGATAGCCCCAAGCGGAAGCGTTCTTCACCTTCTCCGGCCAAGGAGACATCCGCGGCGCCCAAGTTTCCGTCTCAGACTCGTTCCACAGCTGCGGAAAAGTCCCGCTCGCACCGTTCTCCTCTTTTCACCAGCCCGAAGGCACCGAGGGCCAATGTTTACCGCCCACGAAAGCCTCTCCCAGCACCCAAAAAGGTCAAGGCTGCCCCAGCTCCTCCTCCTGCACCCAAGCGCGGTGTCTGCCCTCTCCCGGGACGCGTCGTGAAGTCATCCCGCCGCTCTACCCTCGCGAGCACCTCCTCCTCCACACCCTTCATCGCGCCCAAACCCGCAGTCACTACCCGCACTTTCCTCCATGTCTCGGACTCGCTCAACTCTGACGACAGCGAGCACGAGCACACTCACAAGGACGTCGAGTCAGACAGCGACGACGAGAGCGATTACGAGGCGGACCGTTCCGAGGACGACGACGAGGACGACTTCCGCCCCTACAAGCGCACTCGCAGCACATCACGCCCCGCCATCTCCACCCTCGACGACTCTTCGCGCACGCGCCGGAAGGCCCGCAGCCAGAAGATCAACGCGGCCATGGGCTTGGGGTCGCGGAAGGGAGGCTCTTCGAGGCGGCGCAAGGGCAAGAAGGAGAAGGAGCCGCGGACGCTGTGCATCTACTTCGACGTCTGCGGGAAGGACTTTGGGCGGCATAGCGACATGCTGCGCCACGCGGAGTGCTCGTGCAAGGGCAATCCCAATCCCAAGAAGAAGCGTCACTCCATCTGCCCGATATGCGACTTGTCGCGTCGCGGCACGATGCGGCCCTCCGGCACAGAGGCTCGGACAACTGCAGGCAACGGCTCAAGGCGAAGCTCGAACGTCTCGCGCGCGGTGAGACAGAGGAGCCTGAGGATATCATGGATGAAGATGAAGATCTGGAAGCCGAAGTGGCTGTAGAGGCTGCCGAGGTTGATGCTGGCGAGCAATAGCTTGCTGTCTGGCTAGGGTCGTGTCACTGAGGCTCCTGCGCTCGTGTTCGCTCTGGTTCGGCTGCGTGCTCCCGCTGAGCTGGGTTGTCTCTGCTCTGGTTAAGTTTCTTTAGGTCCGTCTTAATATTGTTATTATCTTAGTCTGTGGTACGGGCCTGCTCCCCGCTGGACGCTCCTCTAACTTAACTCGGATGTCTGAAGCATCTCGGTCTCTGTTCCTCTGCACATCCCTCCTATCATCGTTTATCACATACGCATACCCCAGCCCCGATCATCTGTTCCTGTACAAAGTCTTGTCGCATCTCCTGTACTTGTATCTGCCTTGATTCATTGGCTCTGCGGTCCGTGCTTCTCTCATTCTCCCGACCGCGTCGGACGATGGCGCCCACGATGTGGTCGCCCTTGTTCATTCCGGAGCTCCTCCCAACACGAAGCTCGTCACGGGCGGCCGCAAGTGAGATGTGCGCTACTCATTTTGTCAATGCACGTCAACTGTCGCTCCCAGGGACCCACAATTCTGAGAGTGCCGGATCCGTCGCTTCCGGTGTCATGATGCGCACCGCCCCCCTTCTTTGCCCCAGGACGGCCTTGTGCACATTCCGAGCGTCTTGTGCGTGTCCTTGAGGTGCGCTTGCATATGGCTCATGACATGACCGTGTGCCCGGAAATATCTAGTCTTCTCCTCATAGGCGCAATCGCCGTCGACGCGAGAAGATGTCCGATGATCGACTGGCGGGGTCTTGGAAAAAGGGCGCATGTCCGAAGACATACAATACACGCTCCCAGGCAGGATGTACTTGGTTCAGACCCTCGGGACATCCGACACGGCTGCCGACTCAAGGAAGACGATGGTCCCGATATGTCGCAAGGCTTCGCGACATACGGTAAGTTTGCATCTCGAGATCGCATGATTCTGTCCACTGCGGATAATCAAAGAAACACGTCTGAGTCTGTAGGTTACGACAGCGTAGTAATACATTAAGGGGAACGAGACGCACCGTGCACAACCCGCTGCCCAATGACGCCAACGCCGTGTTCCTATGGCTTAGCGTGGAGAACAAAAGACCGTCGGAAGACTCGAGATGCGTTGAGAGAAGAAGCGGAGAATGAACAGCGTCACTGCCGCATTGTATCGTCCTGCCTATCAAGGTAATCTTCGGCTTCCGGGCGAGCGGCGGCGTGGGGGCACTGATCCAGGTGGTGGTTTAGTGTTCTTTGAACCAACGTGCAGTGGGCCCGTGTCCATCTCTGTCCTGGTCGAGTCAGCTTCGTCGGAACGCGCGGATGCAGACTGACCACGTACGGCTAGCATGAGCAGGCACCACCACTGTCTCAGTCTTCTCTGCTGGTGTAGAAATGATGCACGCGGGTGCAGATGCGCCTCAAGGCTGCTGGTCCACTTCATTATCTCACACATATCAGAGGACGTTGGGCTTGATCCTTCCGACGATATTGTATCCATGCGCTACGCCTCGGAGGTCAGGATGCATAGAGCGTCTGAGGATACTCATGTCTCCTAAGTGAGGTACCGCGCATTGTCCGCGAATCTGCCTTGCATCCAAATGACTGGTTCATTTCCGTGTGCTATCTCCGATGTTCTGAAAGTTCAGGTTAGACGCAAGAACCCCGAAACCATATGGTAGCACTGTAGCTGATGTCCGCACCGGTCATATTCCCTCAAGGCACAGCTGAAAGGGCAGAACAGTGATCGTAGAATTGAGCTCCTAAATTTCAAGTTGCTGTTCAATATTCGGAGGAGATTGACGGCGGTTCTGGCGGAGGAGGAGGAGGAGCACATAAAGGTCGTCGGTTGAAGCAACCTCCGAGCGCAGAGAGCGCCTCCCCGCACCCCAAATTCGGGCGAGATTCGGCGTCAATCCAGAGGAAAGCGGGGACAGACGCTAGCTTGGCCTCTCTTCGGCCGCCGACGTTCTCATCGCCATCCCTCTCGCCGTTCGCACCTCATGGCTACAACTCCTCTTGACCGCTCGCCGTCCACAGCAGCCTCAGCGCCCGCTACACCGAACATAGCCTCAGCGTCGGAGACCCTCGGCGAACACTTGTCGTACCCCGTACCAGCCGGGCTAGCAGCGCCAGTGGCGTCTTCGTCGACGGCGGCACAGTCGCGACCTCTCCTCAAGGATCGCTTATACGTTGGAAATTTACATCCGAGTGTAGATGAGTGCGTATAGTACGGCGGACTCCTCGTAGTGCCGGGTTTTGACGATGACGTTCTTTGACCAGATACACTCTCCTGCAAGTGTTCTCCAAGTTTGGGAAAATCAACAAGCTCGACTTCCTGTTCCACAAGGCCGGACCGCTGAAAGGGAAACCAAGAGGCTATGCATTCGTGGAGTATGGGTCCAAAGACGTACGTCCTTCCTCCAGAATTCACAGACGCAATGCGCTGACCCCGGGGATTCTATTGCATGCATCGCATACACATACGACGGCATGGCGTATCTCATACCCATGTGCAGTTGAGCCCGGGGTCGGCGGGGGTTTGGTAAAGTCGAACTTACGCTCATGCCATCGCTATTTGCCACATCTTAGGATGCGGAGAAGGCCCTCACACATGCTCACGACAAGCTCTTACGTGGCCGGAAACTCGTCGTAACCTACGCGAACCAAGCCCCACTGGACTCAGCGTCAGGCGCATCAGGATTGGGGTCGAAGAACCGTAGGGCGATGAGCGAAGTTGGGAAGCCCACGACGCTCAGTCTGCTGAAGAGTGCAGGTACAGGACGGTCCAACAACGCGTAAGTCGCTAAACCGCTTCATGTGCGCCGTGCGACCTGTCTGTTAATCCATATTCCCATATTGCTACAGAACCGATGCCAAGATCGCGCGAATGGAGGCGAAGTTGAGACAACTCGAGGGCGCATCGACTACGTCGGCGCTCGGAAGCCTGCCAGGGCACCCATCTCTTCCGCCGAAGCCTGTCGCAGCTGCAGCTGCGGCCGCTGCTACCTTCAGTCCACGACACACGCACACACACGCAGCTTCTGGCGGTGCGAGGGAACGAAGTCGCGCTGCCCCTTTGCCGTCTTTGCCCATCATCCCATCTAATACTACTCATCCCCCGATCAAGGTGGAGAAAGGTCTTCCCCTGCTCTCCGCCGTCTCTGCTCCTGCTCCTGCTCGTCCATCTACCAAGAAGTCTGCTCTCTCCGGTATTCGAATAGTAAAGAAGAGTTGACACGTCTGTTGTGAAGTATCCAGTCGCTATGGTATGACTGACATACATGCCAGCAATTGTTGCTGTATGCCACTTTGCCTACGCGCACTACTCCCTGGTAGTATATCGGTTAGTACACGCGCCTGTCATCCATGAGATTTTGGTGGGGTCGCGCGAAAGCGGGGTTCGACTCCCCGCCAGGGAGATGTTGGGTTAGTGACGTCTTTTTGAAACATCATTCAAGATGTCTATCTCCTGGAGGGTGCATGCATCCTTGTTGCAACCAGATGCTCACCGTCGGAGGCATGATACTTCAATAGTACAAGATTTCCTTGGGGTACTTGATTTGACTATGATATGTGATGCGACAAATATATACACTTGTGCGGGGCCGTTGAGAGTGAATCCACCCGATGATACTGCCAAGTAAACCCATCATCCATAGAGTCAGCAGTCATGATACTCAGTTTCTAGCACGCCCCCTTGTCGACCCAGACGCCAGCTATCCAGAGGATGTCAGCACAGACGCATACGCACCAGTTGGAGTAGACGTACCAGCACCGCCGGGAGTGTCACCTTGAGTCCACCATGATGCGGTCCACAGGTGGCCGTTGTAGGTCGCCTGCTGCCCGCCAGTGTAGACGGCCTGCGCATGGTAGAGTCGTCAGCAGATGTTGCCAAAGTGGGGAGCCACGGATACGTACAGACGCGCTCCAAGCAGAGACGGACGAGCATAACCCGCTGCCGCCGGTGGGAGTCGAGGTCGAGGTGGTCGTGGAGGTCGGTTTGACGGTGGTGCTGCTGGAGGAACCGCCCTGGCCCATGTTGTTGCGGATGTTGTCCCACTTGCTGTTGGGGTAGTTGATGTGGTTCTGTGTCTGGTCGAGAGAGCCGTACACGCCTGCGGTCGTGCCGACAAGCGAGTCGGAGCCGGTCTTGTCGGTGGAGAGCTGCAAGTTCGCAGATCACATCAGTCGGTCTGCGATCGTGCATGCATTCCGGAATCGTGCATGCATTCCGGAATCGTGCATGCATTCCGGAATCGTGCATGCATTCCGGAATCGTGCATGCATTCCGGACAAGGAGAAGTAGCACTCACGTCCCAGAACATGGAGCCAGCGAGACCGTTGGACTGGGTGTACTGCGCCTTGAGGCTCGCGATGTGGGGGGTGTCGTATGAGACAAGCTCGCCCTTGGACGCATCGTACGAGTAACTCGTGATATCCGTCAGGTTCTCAAAGATAGTCGCGCCCGCGAGGGGGAGAACCTTGTAGGAGTAGATGCCGGCCTCGATCGTGCCAGGGCCAATCTGACATGTCGGTCTCAATCAGTACTTTATCGAGGCATGCTTAGAAAGGCATGGACATACGCCGTTGTAGGACGCGCCAATGCCTGTCGTGTTCTCGAACGCACGGCCGTAGACGGGGATCCCCAGGTTGATCTTGGACGCGGTCGCACCGTGAGAAGTGTAGTACTTGACCGCCTTGTCGGTGGAGACGTTCGTGCGAGTGCCGCCGTAGACGTTAGCTTGGTTGTCAGCCTGGATAGGTGATCAATTAGCCTCTTCTGGGGTCCTGCGGGTTCATGACGGGAGCTTACGAAAGTCAACCAAGAGCCAGCGTAGTCGTAAGCCTACATGACAGGACAAGGGTTCTGTCAGGACCGCCGCGGCGGGGGCACATGAGGATCCGTGCGTACCATGAGGTTCCAGAAGTCAAGTGCGGCGTCCATCGTCGACATCTTGAGCCATTGGTAGTTGTCGGAGCCTGCGGGGACAGCAGCCTGCCAATCAAGACGGATCAGTACGACGGCGTTCTGCCCCAAGCATGCCTGAATTGGAGGCTAATGTGGCGGAGGCGTACCGTGAGGAGGTAGGGCTGTGCATCGCCCTTCTGCTTTTGCAGATTGGTGAACGCGGTGCGCAGCTCGGTCAGGAGCGAGGCGAAGCCAGAAGCCAGGGCGTCCGAGTTGGGGTACTCGAAGTCGATGTCGATACCGTCAAAGCCGTAGTTCTCGATCAGGCTGACGGCACCCGAGACGAACGTCGCACGCTTCGAGGCGTCGGTGACGAAGTTGAAGTGCCCAGCCTGGGAGTACGTCCATCCGCCGATGGAGAGCAACACCTTGAGGTTCCTGCATATGGGAGCGAATGCAATCAGCATCGGAGCATGCGCGGAGCTGCCGTTAACTTGTCCGACCTGTGGCTGAGCTTGAGTAGGTACAGCTGAGGGTAGTATGGCAGATGAGCGTCTCGGGCGATCTATCGAGCGATAGGAATGGTCCTTACCTGCTTCAGGCAACCGTAGAGGTTGTTTCCCGGCTCATCCCACGAGTCTCCGTCGAAGTGTTTCTGTTCGCAGCCACCGTCAGCCCTACTGATCCTCCTCTCGTGTGAAAGCACATGCTCACCTGCTCATCCGCATACGAGTCAGTGAGGGAGATAGTGCCACTGTCCGCCGAAACATCGGCGAACGAGTACAGAATGTGCGTCAACGGCGTGGGGTTGATGTCCGTCGGCTCTGCGGAGGAGAATCAATGAGCATGTGCCCCAGCGGCGGCGGAGAGAACGTCACTCACGGAAGTTCGCGCCATAGATGCCCCTGCGTCGCCAACGTGATCAGCAGGTAAGTCCTGTCCTTTTCCACGGGAGTACGCACCAGTTCGTGAAGTACGCGGCCTGAACCTTCCCGGATGCGCGCTTGTGGATGACCTTGGTCTCCGCCGCACCCGTGGCAACCTTCCGCGGTGCATCCTTGTAGGCCGCAGGGCGGTGCATGACCTGCGTCGCGTCGACGACGACCAAGGCGGCCAAAGCCACCGCGGCGACGAAGAGGACGCGCTTCAGCGTAGCCGACAGAGCCATGATATCCGAGGAGGGTATGTGGAGTGTCGGTGCTGGGGGAGGAGGGAAGGCCTCTCTGTGGCGGGCGGTTCGGGTTCTTCTTCCTCGAGGTACGCGGACCTTTTGTAGGCCTCGAGAACACAGTCCCGCGGCTCGGGGAGCGTGCTTGAGGACCCAAGAGGGCCTGGGACGACATGATGCACCTGCAGAATCGCGATGCAGCAGATGCGTTCCATATGGTCGCTGTCCGTTTCTAGATGCCGTACGCTTCTCCGGAATCCGTCCAATGCGCGCCCTCACGGGGGAAAGCGCGTGTGGGTATCACGGCCTGTGGTCCCAGATGGCGGTATGGTCGGCTGCAGAGGCAGGCCACAAGCCCGATATGCCTATCGGACAATTTGCCGGAGAGCTAGCGTATGCGAACCATGCTTGCTGCGTCGCCGCAGACAGGCACGTCGAGAGGGATTGGGCTTTGCCGCCGAGTGTCCATGCTGCAGCGCGGTCACCAGCAGCGTGCGTTGGCGTGGTTACTGGGCACATTGTCGCGCTCCCGAGCGCCCGAGGGCCGACAAGCTCAACTCGGTCTGCAGCGGCGCGCAGATGGTACTAGCACCAGGGCCAGACGCACCCAGTCGGGTAACTCGTATCGTCGCCTTCGGCGCGCTGCTGTGATTGAGGTGCTCAGCTCGTGCCTCGGGAACAAGGAAGTAAGGTCATAAGCTTACCAGAGTGATCAACTGATACCGGGACCATGTGGTATGTCGTCGTCGTGCATCAGGGTAGCTTAAAGCAGCAGAGGAACTGCGGGACGCCCAGAACTGAGACCGTGCGGACTACTTGCGTCTGTCGAGTCACGCTTTGGTCGACATTCAGTCCACCACCATGATGATGTGCGACTCGGCGAGCCACTGGTACTGGTTGGCTCGTCATGACTGCCGGTATGCCCGACTGCGCAGGTGAGATCATCCAGGTGGACGAGAAGAAGTTCAAGAAGTCACCGGGCTTATCGTACAACATGGTCGATAAGACAGATACGTGAGCATGGCCACTTATTGACATGTTCGACTCGGACGCTCACCGAGGTCATTGCGAGCCGGACGCAATTATGAGAGCGGACCCGACGAAGTGCGATAGCGGATCAGGAGAACGGTACCGTCGAAGATCATGGATGCTCGAAAGCTGCAGCTCGAATGCGGGTGCTGTACTTGAACTTAGCTATTGACGATGTAGGAGGAGTACTATTTCTTCGCCAGCTCACCGGATTACCAGTGCGTGTGCGGATCAGTCGCGGCCCGGCCTCGAAACCTTGTCTAGATGCCGTTTCTGATTCCGTGGATGGTTTCACCATGGTCACACATTTGCTGGCACACGAGTGCTTTGGAAGTGAACGCACGCACGTCACACGAGCTCTTTGGATATCTACACAACATGGGCGTCGAGACCGAGAAGTCGAAGTCAAAAGTCATACAAAGCTTGGTATTAAGGGCAGCCTTCTGGATATGTGTAGGCGAACTGTGTTGTTGAAAGCAAGCAAATGAGCAGACGATGGACTGTGCGGGGATGACGATGGGCGGTAGTGTGGTGTGGCGTTGTGAGCATTCTGAGAGACGAGACGAAACAGGCGAGCATGCGACGAGGAGTGTGACGGTTATGGCGATTATATAGGCGATGCAGACGAGCGAGGGTGACATAGAAAATGCAGCAAACGGAACAAACGACAACAGTGGACGAGCGCAATAGTACTAGACGACGTGATCGGATTCGGCAACGGAGGAGACTGGGATGGGATGATGTGGATTGGGGAGGGGGATAGAGAGGGAGAGAACGAAACCAGGGGAGGAGTGCCGAGGAGGGGTAACGACGAGCAAGAGCTCGCGACATGGGGGGAAGGGGCGGTGATGGGAAGGGGAAAGTACCGGGGGAATAAACTAGGATCGAAAGGAGACAGGGCTGTGTACCGTATAGTCCGGTTCTTCAACCATCCTCGAGGCACTTGTTGCCCATGTGCTTCACGCCGAGGCATCGTACAGACAATGTGGTCTCCTTGAGAGATCTGAAGTCGAGGCAGGTGCTATCTGCACCGTTGCCTGGAAGCTGTCGATCAAGCATGCGGGTCAGACATATGCTCTTTGAAGCGACCGCCGGTCGATGACATCGATCCGCAGCGCACCTGATTCTTTTGCGCTTCCCGCCGGATTCCCAGTCCACGCCTCAATCTCTAGACGTCGTCCTCGTCGTGCACTATACGTCGACATACATGAGTACTGGCTCGCCCACACCGTCGATCTCAGGGATGACGCATTTCAGGTCAAACGCCTTCGCCAGCACGATCTTGAAGATCTTCTGGACATTGATCGAGGCTG